TTTTTTTTTTTTTTTTTTTTGTGTCTGTTATTTATTTTTCTCAGTTCACACTTGACCAATACATCAAAAGAACACAATTTTAATCTTAATGAACTTATAATCACCAAATATTGAAAAAAAACTTCTAATTAATAATAATTGAATCATCGAAATAGTTAAATTTTATGCATTAAACATGATTAGTGACTATATTTTCAATTTTATCAAAATATTATTAATTAATACTAAAGGTATCAATTATTATGATTTAATTTTTAGATTCTCTGAAGTATTAAAAAGCCTTTCGATTAATGAAACTCCAGTAAAAGTTATCACAAGTCGTATTTATTCTATAGCAGTTCATCCTTCAGAAAGTTCACTTTTTATTGCTGCTGGTGACCAAAAAGGAAATATAAGTAAGTATTAAGTAAATAAATAAAGTAAATAAATTCTACATGTTATTTAAATTATTTATTTGGGAAGTTACGTTTTCAATAATTTAGTGATGACTATTTTTAATTTGGTAGCTTGTATAATTAAATCAGGAACACAGTATGTTACAATACATAGGTATAAAATTCAATTTTATTACATCAAGGTGCACAAATTATTTCGTCCTTTCTAACATAAGCAATAGCTTATTATGAAAAATGTTAAATATAAATCTAAAAAATTTTAATTTAATTACATTAAATATAATATTATTTTTAGGTTTATACAACCAAAAACAAGATGATTTGCGTGAATATAAAGTACAACATGGACCTGTAAATTGTCTTTCATTTTGTTCGTGGGATTCTTATAAATTATACTCAACTAGTCATGACGGTTCAGTGAGATGTGGTGATATTGTTAAACGTACTTTTGACACTGTTAGTTAAATATTTTACTATAATTTTCTTTTTCTTTTTTTAAATTGTTCAACAAAATATATGTAATAAAACTAGAGCGTGTTTACTAGTACGCGCGGATGAAATGAAACTTCTTTCAAAGTACTGGTAGGCTATTAGGTTTGTATTGAAATAAAATAAAAAATTCACCTAAACATTTTATTTTCAATTGAAATGTATTTTTATTATTAATTTTTTAATTCTATTGCCACGAAAGATTTAATGAGCTTTTGATAACTGAAATAACTTGTGTAAGTTTTTAATTGGATGTTATGAAGTTATTCTGTGAAAATTGCATCTATTGTGATTCTTTATGTTGATATTATTAAACAACACACTAGATACAGTAATATTATTTTAGTACATTGTCAAAAGAGACATTCCTTTCTCGGTCATTTTACTCAATGCAGCCTATTGTATAAATGTTTAAGATTCAGTCGTAGCTGTTAACTCTATTGAGTTAAATGACCTATTTCTGTTGTACATGTCTTATATTATATGCTTTGATATTTTATATCATATACTATTATATTACGAATAATTTCTAAATCTTTTAATTACATAACTTATTCCATTGAACACTTTAAAAAAATTTTATGCACAAACAAAATTATTTGAAATTAAGTTATTTAATGCATTTTAAATAATATTACTTTTATTTTTGAATATATACTAAATTATAATATAAAATATACTTTATTACTTACTATTATTAAAAAAGTATATAAAGGATAATCACTTTATCATAAACCACTCGATTACTTGCAAAATAAATACAATATTGGAAAAATTAAATTTGATTTCTTTTAGTTACATATAATTCTTGATTTATGAGCTAATAATTACTATAATACTTATAAATCATCCCTTATATTTTAAAGAGGTATCAACTTAATTTTTTTAAATGGCAACATCTGTATTTAACTAGTTAATTAAATAAAAAATAATCTAATTAAAGCAATGACTAGAAGCAAGAAGTAGGTATACTATATTTATATAGCTATATTTATCACTAGTAATATCTCAGACATTCTCTTCGTTTCACCTAAGTATAAAAATGAGAATAACACTCAATGAACTGGTCCAAAAAAATTGTTATTGATCAGTCATTTTCTTAATCAGATAATTATCTATTTTTTAATTTATTAATTAAATATGTATGTTACCATTTAAAAAAACTATGTTGAAAACCATATACATTATAAGGAATAGTATAAAAAGTAATTATTAGCTGATAAATCAAGAATTATATATAACTGATAGAACTCAAATTTCATTTTTCTAATATTGTATTTATTTTAAGAGTAATCGAGTGGCTTTTGATAAACTGGTCACTGTATAGATAATATTTATTTTTATTTACATTACTATATGTTATTAATTAAATTTATTGTTGAATGGAATACTTTATGTAATTAAAACATTTAGAAATTATTCGTAATATAATAGTATATAATATAAAATATCAAAACATATAATATAAGAGATGTGCAACAGCAACGGGTCACTTTACTCGATATNGATGTACAACGGCAACGGGTCACTTTACTCGATAGACGGTGAAACTACAACTAAACTGTAAACATGTATACAATAGGCTGCATTGAGTAAAACAACATAATCGTAAAAGGAATGTGTCTCTTTGACCATGTACTATACTAACATAAGTAAAAATACATTAAACTGTTATCTTTAATAATATTACTGTACCCAGTGTGTTGTTTAATAATATCAANTAAAAAGTAATTATTAGCTGATAAATCAAGAATTATATATAACTGATAGAACTCAAATTTCATTTTTCTAATATTTTATTTATTTTAAGAGTAATCGAGTGGCTTTTGATAAACTGATCACTGTATAGATAATATTTATTTTTATTTACATTACTATATGTTATTAATTAAATTTATTGTTGAATGGAATACGTTATGTAATTAANTTGTTGAATGGAATAGGTTATGTAATTAAAAGATTTAGAAATTATTCGTAATATAATAGTATATAATATAAAATATCAAAACATATAATATAAGAGATGTGCAACAGCAACGGGTCACTTTACTCGATAGACGGCGAAACTACAACTAAACTGTAAACATGTATACAATAGGCTGCATTGAGTAAAACAACATAATCGTAAAAGGAATGTGTCTCTTTGACCTTGTACTATACTAACATAAGTAAAAATACATTAAACTGTTATCTTTATAATATTACTGTGCCCAGTGTGTTGTTTAATAATATCAACATTTATGGCTATTACATTTATTTATATTATAAATATAATTATTTATTTATATAAATAAATGTAAGGGTTGGCCTGGCCTAGTGGNTACTTATTTCATTATTAATAAAAATAAATACGAATAAATAAATAATATATTAATAGTATAAATGTTTATTTCTATTAATAATAATAATAATATAAAAAGTAAATTATATTTTATTATATTTATTTATTTTAATTAATATAATTATAAAAATAAATAGATATAATTAAATCGTAATGTAAAATATATGTAGCACTTCATTTTTGAAAATTAAAGTATTGTTGTTTAAAGTACTTTAATTAATTTAATATGTATGAAATTGTAAAATTTTTGTTTTAGAATTTATGTAGTTAAATTATTCAAAATAATAAATAATAATAAAAGAATCAATCAAATTACCAAATTATAAATTTAAATGTATTAGTAATAAATTATTGTTATTAAAAAGTAATATATTAATTAAAATAAATATTTTAACATTAAAAATGTAGTTTTATGAATTTAAAATTAAAAATAGTTATTTATATTATTATAAATTGCAAAAATCATTGAATATAAATGTTTATCAAACACTCATGTTTATCAAATGTACATGTTAATCAAACAATAAAATTTTGACCATATATTAAATAAAACAATAGAATTCGTCTGTTACAACCAAACTAAGGCTTGATGTAAGATAATCTTCTTTTTTTTCCGGACTATCTATAAAGAAGTGTCACTTCAAAAAAAATAATGTCATGAAATACCATAATATGACAGTTATGATTTTTTAAAACAAGGCTTCTTTACACCAAAATAAAAGTTCTCAAAGAAGTTTATGCAATTAACTGGAGAAATAAAAAATGTTTTAATGTAAAATTCCTATGCATGGAGAGTAGTAAGTTTACAAATTAACATCTTTAAAATTGGTCCAATATTATATTTTAAGTGAAAAGTAGCCTTATTTTATAGAAATCATAACTAATAGTAGTTATCATTTATATTTGACACAATAGAATTATTATTTTGTATTTTTAATTTTTCTTATGTTTTTTTCAACTTATTTAACAAATTTTTTTTCAACTAACTTTTAGATTTATACATCAGACTTATGGGAAGAATATTCCAAAGATTCTCATGCATTATGGCATTCTGAATATGAAAGAAATCTACTTATTGGTGCTGGTAAATAAAAAAAACTTAAATTTTCATTTTATTTTATTGAATTTTATACTAAATTATGCAAATTTGTGCTTTTGTATTGATACATTTTATATTCTGTGATATTTAAAAANTACTTATTGGTGCTGGTAAATAAAAAAAACTTAAATTTTCATTTTATTTTATTGAATTTTATACTAAATTATGCAAATTTGTGTTTTTGTATTGATACATTTTATATTCTGTGATATTTAAAAATTGGTTATTNGTGCTTTTGTATTGATACATTTTATATTCTGTGATATTTAAAAATTGTAATTCTAAAGTACTATTGGATTGATATCCTTGGAATGCATTAATATTTAATATTTTAAATTAACAATTAACAAATTTTAAAGTTCATTGTATCGTATGGTATATTTTTGTGTGTACAACAAATTGTTTTAAAAGTTATATTACATCCATTTACTGTTTTTTGTGACATAAGCACCTCTATTATGTTTAGCTCCTTATACANTGATATCCTTGGAATGCATTAATATTTAATATTTTAAATTAACAATTAACAAATTTTAAAGTTCATTGTATAGTATGGTATATTATTGTGTGTACAAAAAATTGTTTTAAAAGTTATATTACATCCATTTACTGTTTTTTGTGACATAGGCACCTCTATTGTGTTTAGCTCTTTATACGTCATTTATATTCACTTAACCTTTTTAATTAAAATTTTTAGGTTGTGGTAATGTAGACCTAATAGATACACGTACACCAATGAAAATTCAAAGTTCTAGTAAATGTCATCAAAAATCTGTGCGCACTGTTCAATCTCATCCTTTGGAAAAACATTACTTTTTAACTTCATCTGGAATAGGGTATGTAACAGTAAAGTTTTAAGTATTAAATTTAAAAACTTACATTTTAATATTGTTTAACAATGATAAAAACTTCAAACACTTGAAAATAGCCTATAATATTAACTACTTTATTGTTTTAAATCTTAATTCTAATTGTGTATTTAATTTTAAACTAATTAACTCTTAAATTAGTTTTATTCTAATACATTTTGTAGAAAATTTCTAAATATTATACTATAAGACATTGACTAACTTAAAATTTTTATTTATACAAATAGAGAAGCATGCTTATGGGATGTTAGAAAAATGACTACTACAAAAATTGATCCTGTTTTGCATTTTGAACATCCTAAAGCATTAACAAGTGCATTTTTTTCTGCAACAGGAGTGAATATGGTTACAACTAGTAATGATAATAATTTAAGGATTTTTGATACTAGTCAACTTACTACTGCAAATAGTAAGCTTAAATTGTGTTTAATAAATTTTTTTTTACCTTTTAATTGTAAATTAAATTGTATGTATAGTATAAACATTTAATGCATTTTATGTTTAATAATGATTAAAATTTTAGAAGCCACTCATATTATTCCTCATAATAATCATACAGGACGATGGCTATCTGTATTTAAAGCAAAATGGCAACCTGGTAGAGATGATTCCTTTTTTGTTGGCTCAATGTTAATGCCAAAAAGAGTAAGCTTTCTTCTTTGATTAAATTAATAAATAAAAAAAAATATTTCCAAGATAGTGTCATTATTGATTCATATAAAGTTTACATTATTTGAATATATTAAAGATTTCATTCATTGTTTTATTTTGAATAAATAATCTTTATTTATACCAGTAGTACATAAAATCTGACTTTTAATTTTTTTTTATTTTGTAGATTCAAGTTTATGATTTCAAGGGGAAATTATTGCATACATTAATTTCAGAAGATTATTTGACGACTTATGTTCCAGTCATTGAAGTACATCCTTCTCAGGCAATTTATGTTGGAGGAAATGCCTCTGGACGTTTACATATATTTAACACAGAAAACCAATTACAATGATAAATAGTAATTTTTCTTTAAATATCTAATTTTACTTACTGATAAGCTTTATTCTTATGTAAATAGATTTTTTTTTTTATAAATAATTTTATTTTTCATATGTTTTTATAATTCTAAATAAGTTCTGTAGTATAAGTTATACATTTAGTTCTATTGATACTAAATTTATTTTAAAAACTTTTTTTTTATAATTAGATACAATTATTATTATTTTACGATTTATTTATCTATTATTACATAATAATTTATGAATTGTCTTTGTTTAGTTTATGATAAGCTTTATAATAATTAAAAAAAACATTTATTAATTTGCTATTCAACAAATTAAATATTTAAAATATATAATATACGTAGTTCTCGAACATCTAGAATTAATGAATTCAACTTTTAACCATTCCATTTAATTATGACATTTTATATATAACTGTTTTAGTTAGTTTTATAATGCAATAATGATTTTATAGAATATATATTTTCATTCAATGTTAATTCTTTATTTTCATAAATTCTATTATAATCTATCTATAAATTTTATTACACAATTACACCTCTTTTTGTTAAGAAAAAAAAATGTTATCGAGTTATATTCTTTAGAACATTAGTATAATATACTTAAAAATTAGTATTAATTTTGGTTTTCTTTAAAATTTTATTTTAAACTTATATTTTGTTTTAACTATTCTATTTATTCTTAAGTACATTTTATTGCTACTTTTATGTGATAAAAGACTAAAATCATAAAAATCTTTTGTTTATTGTATTTTATAATAGAATATTAGTATACAATAAATCTCATCCATAAAGCAGTTCAAATAAAGTACTTTTTTCTTGCATTATTTCAATAACTTGTATGATTTGTATTGTACTAAATTACTATGTAATATTTAATTATTGATATAAATTCTTTTATTCTCTTTAATTTTAAGATATTTTGAGATTTAAATATCTATTAAATGATATTGTTTATATTATTAATAATATATCCATAATTTAGGAACAAAATTACTAGATAAACATATATTTTTAATTTTATTATTTGTATCAAATACATTTAAATTAAAATATAAAACATCAATTTATAAACCAAAAACTATTATTGTTATACTTCAAAATTATTTTTGGAGTACATCATCGTTTAAGATCTCCAAGATCTTCAATGTAATCTTCATCAATTTCTGGCCACTTTTCAGGTATAATATCAAATAAATCATCTTTTACATCACCTTGTATAACAATTTCATCATCACCTGTAACACTAGACCCACAAGCAAATTTTGTACCAAAAAATTTTGCTGCTACTTTCAAGTCTATATTAAAAGAACTTAAACCAGTAACAACAGTAACAGACTTCTTTTTTCCTCTTGGTGCTCTTGATAAACATACCTAACACAATTCAAAAATTTTACAAAAATTACTTTTAGTAAAAT